TGTGATTTATGGGGTGGGTACCGTACTCCGTCTCGCACTGGGGCTAGATATTTCTTAACTATTGTTGATGATTTTTCTCGGGCAACATGGGTGTATCTATTAAATCACAAATATGAAGCTCCTACTGTCTTGCGTAATTTCTTTTCCATGATTGAGCGACAATTCAATAAACAAGTGAAAACTGTACGAAGTGACAATGGTACAGAGTTCACCTGTTTAAAATCTTTCTTTGACAATCATGGGATTATTTTTGAATCCTCTTGCGTCGGTACCCCACAACAAAATGATCGAGTCGAACGAAAACACCGTCACATTCTCAACATTGCCAGAGCCCTTCGCTTCCAAGCCAACCTACCTCTTAAATTCTGGGGTGATTGTATTCTAACCGCTGCGTATCTAATTAATCGAACACCCTCTGAGCTACACAAAGGTAAAACCCCATATTCCATGATCTATGAAAAAACCCCCTCATATAGTCATATCCGGGTTTTCGGATGTCTTGCCTATGCCCACAATCAATCTCACCATGGAGACAAATTTGAGTCTCGTTCTCGACGCTGCATGTTCCTTGGCTATCCATTTGGCCAAAAAGGATGGCGCCTTCTCGATTTGGACAATAATAAAATATTTGTCAGCCGAGATGTCAAGTTCTTTGAAAACCATTTTCCCTTCCATTCACAAAATACCCCCAATCTCACAGAACCTGAACCCACTGCTGACTTTTTTGAGGAAGAAATACGCAGTGAAGAATCAGCCACCCAGACGGTCGAAACACTGGACCGTTCTCAGGACCCCGGTCGACCGTTGCTCCAATCCAATCCAGAAAACCCTGCAACATCAGAACCAAACAGCCAACCCAATGACCCAGTCCAACCTTCTTCTGCCCTTGATAACCAAACCCTTCCAACCCAAGATACTTTGCGCCGAAGTGAAAGAGAACGTCGTCCTCCTTCGCGACTGCGTGACTTAGTCACTCACACCATTCAACGTCCCTCTCCTGATTCACTCAAACCAACAACACCTTCAGGTACAACACATTGTATTACAAATTTTATTAACGCTGACAAATTTTTTGTTTCCCATAGATGTTTTTTGGCAGCTATAAGTGCAGATGTTGAGCCTACATTCTTTTTTGAGGCGGTCAAAAATCCGCTATGGGTACAAGCTATGAAGGAAGAAATTCAGGCGTTGGAAGCTAATGGTACTTGGTCACTCGTCCCCTTGCCTCCAGGAAGGAAAACAATCGGATCTAAGTGGGTCTACAAAATCAAGCACAAGTCTGATGGTAGCATTGAACGCTACAAAGCTCGTTTGGTAGTGCTTGGCAATCGTCAGAAAGAGGGAATTGATTTTAAAGAAACTTTTGCACCAACAGCTAAATTGGTTACCGTTCGCACTCTCTTAGCTGTTGCCGCTGCCCGGAACTGGTTCTTACATCAGATGGACGTTCATAATGCATTTCTTCATGGAGACCTTCGCGATGAAATATACATGACTCTTCCCCC